AAAAAAACAGGTAGCCCATCTGAATTAGGACATTTAGGCTATCCATCTAATAGTAGCCTACCAAAATCGTATTAACAGTAGAAGTTAAATCTTACTGTAGTCTTCAAATCTGGGTACTGTCTTACGTTTTAAAATCACAAAGGGAGTTTGGTCCCATCAGGCTAACGTGACAGTCACGACTCATGCAGCTGTAAGGTATTCTTTTGTTTTTACTCGCGATCTTAACAACACGCATTACATTACGTATTTCATGGCACACTCGTTTTATGCATATTTGGCACCACCTATTATTGTGGGTGTATTATTGACATGTCAAAGTCTAGACCCTGAATATAAGAAGACCGCATTATTTCAGATGTATTTCCAATAAAAAATATCGTCTTATATTCGGGACAATATGGTATTTCTGATATACGGTTTTCTGAGCGCACACATCCGAAGCACGCGTGCAGAAACTGGCTGTCACATGGCATGTGAGTACTTATTGCGCTTAAACTGTCAAATACACAGACTTTCATGTTAAAAACACACGCAAATTACAAAAACGCATATGGTTATGTCTGTGAAGGTAAACAGCTGGAAAATAAATCGTATGCTTATATTAGATCTGTTTATTAAGTGACAGCAGCGCACAGTACTATACAGAACCAATACTGCTGTCTATGCTGATAATGTGACTCAAACAGAATAAAAACAGAAAATCACTGCTTTGGAGTGAATAACCTCTATAGCTGTAATAAGAAGACATGTCTTACTTGAATGCTGCTTTTAAATGCTCTAGTATGAAAATAAACTTGGAGGATTGTGTGCTGTTCACTCAGACGGGGTCTCTGCTAATACAGCAGTGTCTTGCAATGCACATCAGTAATAAGTGCGTCGTTCTTTCTCTCTCTCTCTCTAAACCTCTCATCTTTAGATACTGCTCTTCTAATCAGAAAGTGATTGAAGAGGAGAGCCTCGGACGCTTTGAATATCCATTTTAGTCAATTAATGGCGTTTGTGACATTTGTGTGAAGTTGATAGCTGCTCCAAGTGGCTTCAAACGCCTGAGGGAGGAGCAGCCGCGCACAAGGCGAAGCGAGAGAAGTAACAAGGGAGCGAGAGTGCCGATTGATTCTGGTTATTGATTACTATTTGGATGGCTGTGCAGGTCATACTTAATTGAGATGGCAGAACGAGCGAGAGATCAGATCAAGAGAGATGGAAATCGTGTTTTTCCCCCCTAGAACTTGGATGACCGGGCCTGGCATCTCTCTGCACGAGTGGTGACATGAAGCCAGCAACACCTAACGCTGAAAATGTCACTCCGCTCCAATTAACCGGCTGGCTGCCGAAGCGCCGGCTGCACCCCAAGCGAGATCCCGCCCCATCCTGCTCGCTTGTGTTTGTCAGTTTTACACGCGGCTGTTTATTTCCAAGCCCACTTATTTGATTACAGCCATTTGTTGGGTGTTAAAGACAGCGGGTGCAAAGGAAGCTGTTAAGGCTGAGAGGATGCAAGATGGTCTGAGGTGGCACCGCTTAGGACTGTTCTGAAGTCAGTGCTGTCTTTCACACCAAACTCCCACACAACCAATGGATATATTCTCCTGTCAGTCAGCCAGTCCTCTAGCGCCATGCCATCGCACTCAAATTGCCCCGTATTTTGGTCAAACTTGGCCGCATGACCCTGCCTGCCACCCTCAAGAGAGAAACGATGAGGTAAATGCCAGCATATGTAGCCCTAATAAACTATCACTTTAAGGCAGGTAAACTCTGACTCACTGTGCCTCGAGTCTATCAATGCGAGGCATCCGGCAGGCAACCTCCATTTCTGTTCTGAGTCTCGGTGTATATTGTTTTCTTCTCTTTCTCTCTAGCCTTTTCTCGTTCCATCAGCTCAGATGGCTGTCAGGGAGGGCGAGCAGGAGGGAGGGAAATGGAAGCTGACACCATCATCCCTCCCCTCGAACGAAACATGTTAATTAAGGCGAATCAGTAAGCTGTTGTGGAAATAAATAGCACCATTCTGTGATACTCTACTGTGAATGCAAAAACCAGTCGAAAAAAAAAAAAATCAACAACACCACAACCAAAAAAAGACAACATGAGCAGGGGAGGGAGGATGGAAGCCAGGCTGCAGCCAGCACTTTCCTCTTTGACAGTCCCGTCTTTTAATTGGTGATTCTACAGATAATTACATGAGGTGTTGCTTGTAGCCGGAGGTGGCCGGCACCTCCTGGTCTTTTCTATAAAATCCTCCTGGAGGATTCTATAAATTCCCCTGCCCTTTGTTTGCTTGAGTCTCCAAGTGGCTGCTCACTTATGTGATTCCTCATAATGTCTACATTTTATATCTTTCTCTTTTTATTAGGCTATCAATCAAATGTTAGTTTAATTAATTGCATGGTATGCAGCTTATATATCAATTAGATATTCAGAAAAAAGCTCTTTATTGTCTAATAATGCCAAAATATATGCTAATAAAAATGTAATTATTACAGAATTTACATATGACATGCTCCCTGATATTTTGATGCTCCCTGAATTTATCAGACTAAATTAACTTGCATTGACAGGCCAGTTTTCTATGTATTTGCATATAAATTGTATTCGGGTAAATATTTATTTATTTTTTGTGTATTTTCTACCATTTCTTTTTTCCCTTAGAACAGCAGTTTGTACTGTCCTTCCTGACGTTCTGACCACTGGAGACCAACATGGCAATATATAAACTAAAAAGCAATTCTCGTTTGTTTTTGAAGGACACTGTTCTGCTCTTTGCTGTCCTCCCCTGGGGCGGATGGTTGTAGTCAGTTATTACTGTCAGTTATCTCACAAGGCACTGACATTTGTGAAGGGTCAGAGGGGAAAGTACGAGAACTGTACTCACTTCAGCTCACCGATTCCAACCATGTGCTGTGAGACCTCGATCAAAATGCACACCCTACATCTGAAGATAATTTGCCGTACATTCAGCACACATCCACACAAACACAAAGTGGACAAACAGAAGTAGTTTCCTATTAAAAGCAGATTTCCTTAACACAGACAGAAGATTTGCTCATTAAAAGTGTTTTATTTTGGTTTGATGGGTCATATATTAGTGAAGTTTTTCTGCGCAATACAAGCTGTTGTTTATGTAACTGATTACAAGTTGCTTTTTTGATATAGTTACGTAGACTTTTCTTTTAAAAAGCATGTCTTTTATTGTAAACAGCCTTGAGCTTTAAGCTTTTCTTCCTTCTTGCCCTGACCATTAAACAAATTGCCTGCAAAATAAACAATTCCAACATTTCTTTTCAGTTATCCTTCTCTGAATCATATAGAGATCTCACAGTCTTTATCACAAACCATATTTAAACACCTTGGGGTATCTCATTCTTGTCTAATCTCAGCCTATAAAGCATGTTTGCCATTATTTAGCATATACAGTAGTGCTGCAAATGTTCCCTACATCAGCATGCAAGTGCAATGTAATCACCATTTGATACAGTTATGGGTCGGCACTGCACAGGCAACTGACTGTAGCAGTTACAGTGATGCAGGAGTCCTGTAATGTGATGCAAGTGGAGAACAATCCCATAGTTTAGCAGTCATTGCGATTTTAGGGTTGATGAAGTTATCTGTTCGCTAGATAAGATTGGCCTTTGAAGCTCACGTTCACGTTTGCTGCAAAGCCTCTATTTCCTATGATCAATCATTGATGGCATTGTAAAGGTTGACATTTTCATTTAGCAGATTTGTGTGGGGGAAGTAGAGATGGGATTCGTAATTAGGCTGGTGATACTGTTACAAATGAGCTGGAGGCCGTTGGCTGAGCTCACACTTTGTTTATTTGTCCCCAAATTTTGAGAAAATAAATTAAAGGGTGTAGGAATTGAAATCGTAATGAGAACAGCGAGTTTTGCACCAGCTTGTTTTCGGCGATAATTGGGAAATAACAAAGACAACCTTGTCAAACCAAGGTAATTATAAAGAACAATATAGCATTTCGCAGTGTGAACCTTTAATTGGACTAACCTTTTCTTTTATCCCTAAATCTGCATCTTGGTGATATCTGAACTTAAACAACCAAGTTCATCTTACTTGCCTCAAGGCTGAGGCAAAGTCAGCCGATGGAGAGCTTTGTACAGTGGCGTTTGAAAAGAGCTGCTGTCTGAGAAAGATTCGGCAGGGAAAACGGAGAATATAACCCATTTAAATGTACAGAAAGAGTTCAATATATTTAAATAATTTATTAAAAATGAAATGCACGTAATTGATTTCAAATGGAAGAGCCGCTCTATGCTTTTAAGATGGATATAACTTATGAAAAAAAGCCCCGAGGGCGAGAGATATTGCAGGCTCTTTGAAACATACAGTCATTCACTACCTTAAATGAGGTGTCAGTTCTAATGTTCCTCTAAGGAGGAACTGGCTCTTCATACAAGAGTGCCAGTGCCTCTCCTCTCTCATCCTAATAGGCGAAATAAAGTACAGTTAAAGAGAGGTTTATGAGAAGAGGAGTAAAATGACGCAGGA